GTTAATTGAGGGTGTTAATCAGGGGCCCTGACGCTCCTTTCCTGCCCAGCCCCGGCTCTGGGGGGGCTGCGGGCTCGGGTTGAGGGGGGGTTCCTCGTGAGCAGCTGCCCAGCCCGGGGGGGTCCCACCCCTGGGTTTGGGGATAAACCCCGGGAGAACGGGGGGAGAAGATGGCGCTGGGGCTGCTCGGGGACCTCCTCTTCCTCCTCTTCCTGCTCCTCGTCCCTCGAGGTACGGCGGCGGGGTGAGGGGCTGGGTGGGGTTGGATTGGGGACGGGGGGGACCCTGGGGACGTGCTGGGGTGAACCCTCCCCCTCCCCTTCTCTCTCTCCCCCCCGGCTCTTCCCATCCGGGCGCTGCTCCCGAGGTGTGACCCCCTGGCTCCCTTCCTGTGGGACCCCCTGGCTCCCTTCCTGTGGGACCCCCTGGCTCCCTTCCCACGGGACCCCCTGGCTCCCTTCCCATGGGATCCCCTGGCTCCCTTCCTGTGGGACCCCCTGGCTCCCTTCCCATGGGATCCCCTGGCTCCATTCCTGTGGGATCCCCTGGCTCCCTTCCTGTGGGACCCCCTGGCTCCCTTCCTGTGGGACCCCCTGGCTCCCTTCCTGTGGGACCCCCTGGCTCCCTTCCTGTGGGACCCCCTGGCTCCCTTCCCACGGGATCCCCTGGCTCCATTCCTGTGGGACCCCCTGGCTCCATTCCTGTGGGACCCCCCGGCTCCCTTCCCTGGGATCCCCCGGCTCCATTCCTGTGGGATCCCCTGGTTCCATTCCCTGGAATCCCCTGGTTCCATTCCCTGGGATCCCCTGGTTCCATTCCCTGGGATCCCGTGGTTCCATTCCCTGGGATCCCCTGGTTCCATTTCCTGGGATCCCCTGGTTCCATTCCTGTGGGATCCCCTGGTTCCATTCCCTGGAATCCCCTGGTTCCATTTCCTGGGATCCCCTGGTTCCATTCCCTGGGACCCCCTGGATCCCTTCCCATGGAACCCCCTGGATCCCTTCCCACAAGACCCCCTGGCTCCCTTCTCACAGAACACCCCCGGATCCCTTCCCATGGGACCCCCCCAGATCCCTTCCCATGGGACCCCCTGATTCCCTTCCCACGGGACCCCCTGATTCCCTTCCCACGGGACCCCCCGGATCCCTTCCCATGGGACCCCCTGATTCCCTTCCCACGGGACCCCCCCAGATCCCTTCCCACGGGATCCCCTGATTCCCTTCCCACGGGACCCCCCAGATCCCTTCCCACGGGACCCCCTGATTCCCTTCCCACGGGACCCCCCGGCCGCCACCACACCGGGGGAGCCTGGAGAGGATCCCAAAAAAAAGCGAAAGCGAAGCAAAACAAACCTTCCCCGTGGGGGTGGAGGGGGGGGTTGGTGCAGGAAGGGGGGAAATCCTGTTTGTCGCGTGGCTCCGGGGCCGGGAAATCGGGAATTTGGGAATTCGGGAGCAAAAGGGGGTCACTCGCTTTCCCCGTGGAGGGGGGGGGGGGATGTGGAATCCGAGGGGGAATCTCAGGCTCCGCCCCCCTTCCTGCCCCCCCCCCCCACTGTCACTGGGAGGGACTTTGTTGGATAAACCAGTTACACCAGTTACACCAGTTAAACCTGTTGCGTTAGGGAAATAAACGGGTTGAACCAGTTCCATTGGGGAATGGAACCAGTTCCACCAGTTCCACCAGTTCCACTGGGGAATGGAACCGGTTACACCAGTTCCACCAGTTCCACTGGGGAATGGAACCAGTTACACCAGTTCCACCAGTTCCACTGGGGAATGGAACCAGTTAAACCAGTTCCACCAGTTCCATTATAGAACTGAACCAGTTAAACCAGTTCCACCAGTTCTATTATAGAACTGAACCAGTTAAACCAGTTGCACCAGTTCTATTGGGGAATGGAACCAGTTACACCAGTTATACCAGTTCCACTGGGGAATTAAACCAGTTCCATTGGGGAATTAAACCAGTTCCATTGGGGAATGGAACCAGTTAAACCTGTTACACCAGTTCCATTGGGGAACAGAACCAGTTCCACCAGTTCCTCTGGGGAGTTAAACCGGTCCCACCAGTCCCACCAGTCCCACCATCCCACTGGGAACAGAGGCGGCCTGGGATGAGCTCCCGGTGCCGGGTCCTGTCCCAGCAACCCCAATCCTGTCCCAGTAACCCCAATCCTGTCCCAGCAACCCCAATCCTGTCCCAGCAACCCCAATCCTGTCCCAGCAGCCCCAATCCTGTCCCAGTAACCCCAATCCTGTCCCAGCAACCCCAGTCCTGTCCCAGCAGCCCCAATCCTGTCCCAGTAACCCCAATCCTGTCCCAGTAACCCCAATCCTGTCCCAGTAACCCCAATCCTGTCCCTCAGCCCCAATCCTGTCCCAGCAGCCCCAATCCTGTCCCAGCAACCCCAATCCTGTCCCAGCAGCCCCAATCCTGTCCCAGCAGCCCCAATCCTGTCCCAGTAACCCCAATCCTGTCCCTCAGCCCCAATCCTGTCCCCCAGCCCTGGCCCAGTGCGGTGCCCACCGTGGGGTCTGTCAGGGGGTCCCTCAGCCCCAATCCTGTCCCCTCAGCCCCAATCCTGTCCCCCAGCCCTGGCCCAGTGCGGTGCCCACCGTGGGGTCTGTCAGGGGGTCCCTCAGCCCCAGTCCTGTCCCCCAGCCCTGGCCCAGTGCGGTGCCCACCGTGCCGCCGTGGTGGGGGCCGTGGGGGGGTCCGTGTGCCTCAGCCCCAGCCCCGAGCACGGCCACAGGAGCTACTCCCGCGTCCACTGGAGGCTCAACGAGAGCAGGAAGCTGGCCAGCTGGGACCCCCAGGAGCGGGTCCAGTACCCGGGCACGGCCCACAGGGACCGCCTGGAGCTCCTGGGCAACTTCTCGCTGAGGATCAGCCGCCTGCAGAAGGGAGACAGCGGCGAGTACCAGCTGTACCTGGAGGATGCCACGGGCAGGGAGGACAAGGACAGCGTCACCCTGAGGGTGTACGGTGAGCTGGGGGGAGCAGGGAGTCGTGGAATGATGGAATGATGGAATTATGGAATTATAGAATCATGGAATTATGGAATTATAGAATTATAGAATCATAGGATCGTAGAATTATAGAATCATAGAATTATAGAATTATAGAATCATAGAATTATAGAATCATAGAATCAGCTGGGTTGGAAGGGACCCCCCAGACCATCCAGTCCAACCCTTGATCCAACCCCGCCGTGGTTCCCAGCCCGTGCCACTGATGCCACATCCAGTCTGGGCTTAAACACCTCCAGGGCTGGAGAATCCACCCCCTCCCTGGGCTGATCACTCCCTGGAAAGAATTCCTCCCTAATATCCAACCTAACCCTGCCCTGGCACAGCTTCAGACCCAGCCCTCTTGTCTTGCCTGGGAGAAGAGACCAACCCCCCCCGGCTCCCCCCTCCTGTCAGGAGTTGTGCAGAGTGGGGAGGTCTCCCCTGAGCCTCCTCCTCTCCAGGCTGAGCCCCCCCAGCTCCCTCAGCCTCTCCTCACGGGAATTGTGCTCCAGCCCCTTCCCCAGCCTGGCTGCTCTTCCCTGGCCCTGCTCCAGCCCCTCCATGTCCTTCCTGAATTTGGGGGGTCCCGGGCTGTCCCAGGGCTGTCCCAGGGCTGTCCCAGGGGTGACAATCCCGCTGCCCCTCCCAGATGTGGTCCCGAAGCCCCGGGTGAGGGTCACGGTGACCCAGGACGACCTCCAGCAGTGCAACGCCACCCTCGAGTGCTCCGTGGGGCTCCCCGAGGTGACCTACGAGTGGATCCCCCCCCGGCAGGTCCTGCTGGAGGGCGTGGGGGGCCCCGTCCAGAAGGTCTCCTTCAACCCCTCGGAAGGGACCTACGTGTGCAGGGTCAGCAATCCCGCCTCCTCCAACAGCGCCTCGCTGACCTACAGGCACCCCTGCTCCTGGGCAGGTGAGGGGGGACACAGTGCAGGGGGGGGTGGGCTCTGGGGTGGCTTTGGAGGGTCCCCAGAGCAGCTTTGGGGACCCCGAGGAGAGCAGGTCATGGAATCCCTGAGGCTGGGAGGGAACTCCGAGGTCATCGAGTCCATCCCGTGCCCCGTCCCCACCTTGTCACCCTTCCCTGGGACCCCCCCACCTGCCTGGGCAGCCCCTGCCAAGGCCTGGCCACCCCTTCCAGGAAGAGATTCCTGCTGACGTCCCCCCTGGGCCTCCCCTGGCACAGCTCGAGGCCGTTTCCCCTCGTCCTGTGGCCGGTTGGGTGGGAGAAGAGTCCAACATCCAAGGGGGGGGGTCCCTTCAATCCCTCGGGTCAGGAGCTGTGGGGACCTTTCCCCCTGGGAAAGGGGGCAGGAGCCCACCCAGGGAGGGCTGGGATCCCTCCAGAGCCCTGCCCCTCATCTCCCTCTGCCTCCAGGGGAATCCTCCACTGCCTCCTCCTGCACGGCCACGGGCGGGCTGCTGCTCCTGGGGCACCTCCTGCTCCTCTTCCTCCACCTCGCTCTGGCTTGAGGACCCTGCAGTTCACCTCTGTCCTCACCCCCCCAGCGTCGGGATGAGGGTCCCGGATCTCCCGGGGGCAGAGAGGTGTGGTGCTGGCTCAAGGGAACGATTCCAGTCCCTCAGGCACTGGGAAATCCTCCTCTCCCTCACCCCGAGGCCGGTGGGGCCGCCCAGCCCGAGCCTTTCCTGGGGATTTTGGGCATCCTGCGTTTTTCCAGGACCATCTCAAGGGGGGCAGAGCCGGGGTGGTGGCACCTCTGGCTTTCCCTCTGCGCGTCCTCCCTGCTTTGAGGACCTTCACAAACACCTGTTTACACATTAAATTCTTACCTGAACACATTTTTAGGTGCCTGTTCCAGATTCTTCCCCCTTGGGCTGGGAGATCCCACAGCTCAGGGACTCGGGGGATGATGGAGGAAGGTGTGTTTACCCCCCCAGCACCTTTGTTGGGGACAGAGACCCTTCCCCTGTGTCCCCCAGGGGAGATTCCAGCCCTGGATGGTGGGACACGGGGCCTTTGGGGTGAGAAGAGGTTTTGGGAGTGATGGAGGTGCTCCCTCAGCCTGCAAGGAGAACTGGGGACCTTTCCTGGGCCACCACAACCCCGGGACACTTTTCCCCTGCCAGCTCCAACCACCCAGCCCAAGGGAGGGGGACAACCAGGAGTTTTATCTCCGTAAATCCCGAATTCCAGAGCCATCTTTAAGCAAAGATTTCGAAGGCCACGATCAGCAAAGGGCCACCAGGGACTCCTCTGAAAAACCCAGGGGGTTCCACTCGGTTTAAGGAGCAGCTCGGGGTCATTTCTGCTCCGAGTCCGATGGTTTGAACATCAAGGTTTATTTTTGCAGGGATCCCCCCACCTTGAAAATGTTTTCTGGAAGTTTGGGGCTCATCTGCCTCTTACAAGATCCGAGGTGTCCATAAAAATGGATAAACACAGGGCCTGGGGTTGGTATCTCAGTCGACTCCCCAGCCAGGAGATTTCAGGCTGAGCTCGTGGGAAAGAAAGGAGTTTTTGGGATCATTTGGGTTTTCCTACCACTGGATGCTCTCAGTGCTCCCCCAAAGGATTTTTTTCTCTTGATGGTTTTGCTCATTAAACAGTTTTCCAGGTCCCAGATGCCTCCAGGAGGAACCTCTGCTGTGGACTCCCCTCGACCTGCTCTTGCTCATCCCCTTTTTTCCACGGGAAGAGCTTTGCCGGGTCCTTCCCCCTCTCGCTGTTGGGAAGTGGCTGAGTCAGGAGCCCTCGGGGCGGGAGGAGGGGCCCCGCGGGCCGCCGGGGGGTGGTTTCGGGTGGTTTCACGGGCACCTTTTACCATCAGAGACGATCTGCTGACGGCAAAACTCGCGGAAGGCTCCGAGCTCCACTTCCCTGAAAAGCGGCGGGACGCGAGTTCGCCCTTTGCTGCCCCGCGGTGACATTAAAACGTCATTTTAAACCAGCCTGGGGCGCCCAGGGAAGGGCTGGACGTGACTCTGGGCCAGGGGACGAGTCCCGGGGTGGCCTCGGTGGCCTCAGAGGTGTTTCCCGACCGCGAGCGTGAATTCCTGCTGCTGCCACCTCCGAAAAAACCGGGGAAAGCAACGAAACCGGAAGAAAGCCCGAAGGCAAAAGCCCTTCCTCCCGTTCCAAAGCTGAGCCCCGACGGCAGGGAAGGATTCCCTTTGCCAGGGAATGATTCCCTTTGCCGGGGAAGGATTCCCTCTGCCAGAAACACATCCAGAGGTCCCAGCAGCAGGGCCAGGACCGACCTTCCTCTGCTTTTCCACATCCAGGGCTGATATTCCAGCCCCATCCCCATCCTGGACCATCCCTGTCCCCAGCACCATTTTCCCTGCCTTTCCCACCTCAGGCTGATATTCCAGCCCCATTCCCACCCCTCTGGACCGTCCCCATCCCCGAGCACCTGAATCCCGAGGTCACCTCCCTCAGGGCAGGAAGGAGGATCCAGCTTCTCCTGAAGAAGTTTTCCAAGAACTCGGGTGAGTTTTCCATGGCCACCCTCCCTCCTCCTCCTCCTCCTGTCGGGATCCCACAAAAAAACACCCCCCAAAGCGGGTCAATCCCGGGATATTCGGGGCTTTCCCACCCCTCCGGGTGGGCACCGCGGCGGGCGGGGCAGCATTTGGGGTGGGCAGCACCTCCCCTCGCGCCGCCTTTGGGATCCGTCCGGAGCTTCCAGCGCCGGGAATTCTGTCACCGATAATGAGAAACGATTCCCTCACGGGTTATTTCCTCTCCTTTCGGGGCTCAGGGCGCAAACCCGACCCCACGCTCCGCTTCCTCCCCTCCCGCGGGTCCCCGGGGCCGCTTCTGCCGAATATTTTGAATATTTTCCGATCGAGAAATGAAAGGCAAAGCGAAAAAAAAAAAAAAAAAGGAGCCGCGTTGAGCCCCAAAACAGGAAACTCCTGGCCCGCAAACCGGCGCTGATTCGAGGGCACCTGTTCCTGCGAGGAGCTGATTTTTAACCCCAGAGCAGCAGAAACTCCGGGGCTCCCAACATGGGCTGCTCGGCTCTGCTGCTGCTGCTGCTGCTCCGGCTGCTCCTCGCCCTCGGGGCTGTCTGGGGTGAGTGAATTTGCCTCTCCAAAACGCTCGTTTTGGGTTATTTTGGGGGTATTTATTTTTTTTTTTGTAATGCTCAGTTCAGATTATTTTTTTTTTAAATATTTTTTTGTGATGCTCAGTTTGCGTTATTTGGGGGTATTTATTTTTTTTTGTAATGCTCAGTTCGGATTATTTTTTATTTATTTATTTATTTATTTTGTAATGCTCAGTTTGGGTTATTTGGGGGTATTTTTTTATTTTAATGCTCACTTTGGGTTATTTTTGGGTATTTATTTTTTTTTTTAATGCTCAGTTCAGATTATTATTTTTTTAATGCTCAGAGATTATTTGGGGGTATTTTTAGTGTAACGCTCAGTTATTTGAGAGTATTTTTTTTTTTTTTACTGCCCAGTTTGGATTATTTGGGGGTATCATTTTCATCCCTCCCTCCCCCTCCAGCTGATCACTCCTGGGCACAGAGGGGGTTTTTCCTGAGCTGATGCAAAAAGGGGCTTTTCCAGCTGCTAATTCACCAGGAGCCCAAAAAACTCCTCTTGCTGAGGCAAAACCAGCTCCCAACACCCCTCAAAACCCCCAGCACCCCCCAGCACCCCCCAGCACCCCTCACACCCCCCAGCACCCCCCAGCACCCCCCAGCATCCCCCAGCACCCTCAGCACCCTCAGCACCCTCACAACCCCTCAGCAACCCTCACACCCCCCGGCACCCCCCGGCACCCCCACACACCCACACCCCCCAGCAACCCCCCCCTCAGCACCCTCAGCACCCTCGCACCTCAGCACCCCCCAGCAACCCCCCAGCACCCCCCAGCAACCCATCAAACCCCCAGCACCCCTCGATCCCCCCGCACCCCCCCAGCACCCCTCATCACCCCCCCAGCACCCCAACCACCCCCCCAGCACCCCTCGCACCCCTCAGCAACCCCCCAGCACCCGCAGAACCCATCAGCACCCCCGCAACCCCCAGCAGCCCCCCGCACCCGAAGAAACCCCTCAGCACCCCGCAGCACCCCTCAGCAACCTCAGCACCCTCAGCACCCTCAGCACCCCCCAGCACCCCCCAGCACCCCACAGCACCCCAGCACCCCTCAGCACCCTCAGGCCACCACCCCAGCACCCTCAGCACCCCCATCCACCCCCACAACCCCCAGCAAACCCCAGCAACAACCCACGCACCCCCCCCCCCGCACCCCCCGCACCCCGCAGAACCCTCAGCACCCCCCAGCAACCATCAGCACCCCCAGCACCCCCCCGCACCCACCAGCACCCCCCAGCACCCCTCAGAAAACCCCTCAGCACCCCCAGCACCCCCTCAGCAACCGCCCAGCACCACCCCAGCAACCGCCCAGCCCCCCACAGCAACCCCCCAGAACCCCCCAGCCCCCCCGGCACCCCTCACACCCCCCAGCAAACCCAGCACCCCTCAGCACCCCCCAGCACCCCCCAGCACCCTCAGCACCCCCCAGCACCCTCAGCACCCCGGGCTTCCCACCCAACCTCCCAGCAGAACATTCCTGAGGCTCCCTGGGGATGATCCCATGGAATGATGGCCATGGCCACGTTCCTGCTTCATTTTGGGGGGATAAACCCCCCCCGGGGTGGCTCAAACTGGGGCTTGGAAGGGGCAGAGGTGGGCGATGGGGTGAGGGGGGGGTCGGGGGGGGAGTGTTTGCTCTGGTGCTGCAGCAGCACAGGGGGGTGTGGGGTCCTCTGGGGCCCCCCCAGACCCGTTTTGGGGTAATTCCCCCTCTTTTCTGTGGAAAGAAGGGGGTAGGAAAGGTGGGGGTGGCACCGCGGGGTCCCTTCCCCGCTCCCACCGAGGTGGCTCCTCCTCCTCCTCCTCCTCCTCCTCCTCCTCCTCCTCCTCCTCCTCCCCCCCGCTTTTTCCTACCCCAAACCCGCCTGTTTGCCCCGGGACGGAGGCGAATCTGAGTCACTGGGCTGGGAGGAAACGCGGCAGAGGGGTTGGGGGAGAGGATCCTCCCCTGGAAATCCGGGGGGGGGGAGCTGCAACCCCCCTGAACCCCCCCCCGGGACCCCCCTCGGCCAGGAGAGGGACAAGGGGAGGTTTGGAGCTGCCCCTGCTCCCGGGTGGCTGCACTTTAGGGAATCCCAGGATCATTTTGGGGTTGGAAAAGACCTCCAGGGTCATCCAGTGCCCCCCCTGTGACCATCCCCACCTTGGCACTCAGTGCCACAGCCAGTCCTTCCCTGGGCACCTCCGGGGCTGGGCACTCCCCCACCTCCCTGGGCAGCCCCTGCCAAGGCCTGAACACCCTTTCCAGGAGGAAATTCCTCCTGAAAAGCAATTCTTTGGTTTGTGGCCTTCCAGGACCTGAAGGGGCCACAAGGAATGTGGGGAGAGACTTTGGAAAAGGGCCCGGAGTGGACAAGGGGGTGGGTTCAGGGAGACAGAGAGGAGGTTTGGAGGGATGTTGGGAAGGAATCCTTCCCTGGGAGGGTGGGGAGGGCCAGGCTCAGGTTATCCCGGGGATCCCCCATCCCTGGGAGTGTCCAAGGACAGGTTATCCCGGGGATCCTCCATTCCTGGGAGTGTCCAAGGACAGGTTATCCCGGGGATCCCCCGTCCCTGGGAGTGTCCAAGGACAGGTTATCCCGGGGATCCTCCATCCCTGGGAGTGTCCAAGGACAGGTTATTCCATGGATCCCCCATCCCTGGGAGTGTCCAAGGACAGGTTATCCCGGGGATCCCCCATCCCTGGGAGTGTCCAAGGACAGGTTATCCCGGGGATCCTCCATCCCTGGGAGTGTCCAAGGACAGGTTATCCCGGGGATCCCTCATCCCTGGGAGTGTCCAAGGACAGGTTATCCCGGGGATCCTCCATCCCTGGGAGTGTCCAAGGACAGGTTATCCCGGGGATCCCCCATCCCTGGGAGTGTCCAAGGACAGGTTATTCCATGGATCCTCCATCCCTGGGAGTGTCCAAGGACAGGTTATCCTGCAGATCCTCCATCCCTGGGAGTGTCCAAGGACAGGTTATCCCGGGGATCCTCCATCCCTGGGAGTGTCCAAGGACAGGTTATCCCGGGGATCCCCCATCCCTGGGAGTGTCCAAGGACAGGTTATCCCGGGGATCCCCCGTTCCTGGGAGTGTCCAAGGCCAGGTTGGAGCGACCTGGGACAGTGGGAGGGGTCCCTGCCCGTGGTGGGACAGCGGGAGGGGTCCCTGCCCATGGTGGGACAGTGGGAGGGGTCCCTGCCCGTGGTGGGACAGTGGGAGGGGTCCCAGCCCATGGTGGAACGAGATGATCTTTGGTGTCCCAGTCCCACCCAAACCCTCCTGAGCTGCTGGGGAGTCGATGCAAATCAGACTCTGGGAAGGGGAGGGCGGGGAGGAAGAGGAGGGGGAGGAAGAGGAGGGGGAGGAAGAGGAGGGGGAGGAAGAGGAGGGGGAGGAAGAGGAGGGGGAGGGAGGGCAGGGCAGGAGGAGGCAGCGTTTCCTCTGCGGCTGCACCGAGCCCGTGACCCACATCCCTCGGGGTTCAGGGTGTGGGGCCGAAGGGGGGGGGGTCTCTCCCGTGGTTCTGGGGGCCTGTGGGGTGGGCAAAGGGGGTGATGGACAAACAGCCAGACTCGTGTTCCCACCCCCCCACCGGGGCAGGACAGGGGGGAGACCCCAGAGCCTGGAAATGCAGATAAAGAACCTGTTACATCTTCAGCTGATTTATCTCCTGCAACCCCAGCCTGGGGATTGCCAGGGTGGGCCCAGTGACGTTTCTGGCTTTGATCCTTGAGGATCCTGGAGGATTCTCCCTCCAGTAACATTTCTGGCTTTGATCCTTGAGGATCCTGGAGGATTCCCCCTCCAGGGTGGGTCCAGTGACATTTCTGGCTTTGATCCTTGAGGATCCTGGAGGATTCCCCCTCCAGGGTGGGTCCAGTGATCCTTGAGGATCCTGGAGGATTCCCCCTCCAGGGTGGGTCCAGTGACATTTCTGGCTTTGATCCTTGAGGACCCTGGAGGATTCCCCCTCCAGTGACATTTCTGGCTTTGATCCTTGAGGACTCTGGAGGATTCCCCCTCCAGGGTGGGTCCAGTGATCCTTGAGGATCCTGGAGGATTCTCCCTCCTCTGTTTGGGGAGGGGGGTGGTTGGTGTGAGTCTCCCTCTGCCTCAGCCCTTCTCCCCACTCTCCTCCCAGGAATGCACCCCGGGGAGAGCGAGACAGTGCCGGGCACTTTGGGGAAGGCGACGATCCTGAGGATCCCCCCCAGGCTGCGGGAGCTCACCGCGGAATTCCGGGAATCCTCCTGGAAGCGGTGGGGGTCGTTCCCCAAGAAGCAAGTCCTGGTCAAGTACTCGGGGGGCAACTGCACCAACCACTTCCAGGGGCAAATCCGCTTCCACAGGGCGGACTTTTCCCTGGAGATCCTCAACACGAGCCGGCGGGACGGGCAGCTCTACGAGTACGTGGTGAGCAAAGGGCCGGAGGAGGAGGTGCAGCAGATCCGGCTGCAGGTCTACGGTGAGAGGTTCTGCCTGGGGAGGAGCAGTGGGGTCCCCCCCGGGGGTCAGGGCGGGGCCCAGCTCTGTTTAATGTCTTTACTGGTGATTTAGGTGAGGGGGTTGAGTCCCATCAGCAGCAAATTCGCAGGTGACGCCGAGCTGGGGGGGGGTGTGGATCAGCTGGAGGGCAGGAGGGCTCTGCAGGGGGACCTGGGTGGGTTGGATCCGTGGGCTGATCCCAAGGGGATGAGGTTCAAGCAGGCCAAGGGCCGGGTCCTGCCCTTTGGCCACAACAACCCCCTGGGTTGGGGACAGAGTGGGGGCAGAGCAGCCAGGCAGGAAGGGAGCTGGGATTTGGGATGGACAGGGAGCTGAACAGGAGCCAGAGTGTGCCCAGGGGGACAAGAGGGCCGATGGATCCTGGCCTGGCTCAGGAACAGGGTGGCCAACAGGGCCAGGGAAGTGATTCCTGCCCTGGACTCAGCGCTGGGGAGGCCACCCCTGGAGTGCCGTGTCCAGCTCTGGGCCCTCAGCTCAGGAAGGACATGGAGAGGCTGGAGCAGGGCCAGGGAAGAGCAGCCAGGCTGGGGAAGGGACTGGAGCACAATTCCCGTGAGGAGAGGCTGAGGGAGCTGGGGGGGCTCAGCCTGGAGAGGAGGAGGCTCAGGGGAGACCTCCCCACTCTGCACAACTCCTGACAGGAGGGGGGAGCCGGGGGGGGTTGGTCTCTCCTCCCAGGCAAGACAAGAGAGCTGGGTCTGAAGCTGTGCCAGGGCAGGGTTAGGTTGGATTTAGGAAGAATTCCTTTGCAGAGAGGGTGCTCAGCCCTTGGAATGGGCTGCCCAGGGAGGGGGTGGATTCTCCATCCCTGGAGGTGTTTAAGCCCAGACTGGATGTGGCATCAGTGGCACGGGCTGGGAACCACGGCGGGGTTGGATCAAGGGTTGGACTGGATGGTCTGGGAGGTCCCTTCCAACCCGGCTGATTCTGGGATTCTGTGACCCTTCAGGATGCTCCCGGCCCTTGGGAGCCGAGGGGGTGACAGAGGGGGTGGTAAATGCCCATCCTGATGCCAGGCGACCCCCCTGTCCCTCTCTCCAGAGCCGGTGTCCCATCCCAGCATCCGGATCCTCAGCTGGGAACTCGCCAACGGGAGCTGCACCGTCGCCCTCAACTGCACGGCCGAGCGAGGGGATGAGGTTTCCTACAGCTGGGGCAGCCAGGACAGCGGCGTTTCGGGGCTCTGCTCGGGGAACAGCAGCTTCCTGCACCTCTCCTACCCCCCCTGGGACACCGACACCCCCTGTGTCTGCACCGCCAGCAACCCCGTCAGCAGCCGGGCCGTCGCCTTCCACCCCCCCGAGTGCGGCCACGAGCCACGGGGTAGGTCCCAGGATCCCAAAATCCTGGAGTAGTTGGGGCTGGAAGGGACCTCTGGGGTCCACCCGGAGCGGGTGACGCAGGGACACGTCCAGGAGGGGTTGGAATGTCCCCGGAGAGGAGACTCCACACCCTCCCTGGGCGGCCGTTCCACCCTCCGGGGAAAGTTCTGCCTCGTGTTGGGCTCCTCCGGGTTTGGTTTGTGGCCATCCCCCCTTGTTGGGCTCCTCCAGGTTTGGTTTGTGGCCCTCACCCCTTGTTGGGCTCCTCCAGGTTTGGTTTGTGGCCCTCACCCCTTGTCCTGCCACTGGGAAATGCTGGGAGGAGACTGGGACCATCCTTGGGGATGTTTGTGGGGATGGAGGAGATGAGATCCCCTCTCGGAGGAGGGGTTTGTGGGGATATTTGAGGGGTTCATGGGGATATTTGAGGGGTTTGTGGGGATATTTGAGGGGTTCGTGGGGATGTTTGAGGGGTTTGTGGGGATATTTGAGGGGTTTGTGGGGATATTTGAGGGGTTTGTGGGGATAGTTGAGGGGTTTGTGGGGATAGTTGAGGGGTTTGTGGGGATAGTTGAGAGATTTGGGTGGAATGATGAGACTCCCCCTCCCCTCAGATGAGAGATTTCCGTGGATATTTGAGAGATTTCCGTGGATATTTGAGAGATTTCCGTGGATATTTGAGAGATTTCCGTGGATATTTGAGAGATTTCTGTGGATATTTGAGAGATTTCTGTGGATATTTGAGAGATTTCTGTGGATATTTGAGAGATTTCTGTGGATATTTGAGAGATTTCTGTGGATATTTGAGAGATTTCTGTGGATATTTGAGAGATTTCTGTGGATTCACGAGGTTCCCCTTCAAGATGAGATATTTGTATGGATATTTGAGGATTGACGGGAGCCCCTCTCAGCCTTCTCCAGCCCAAACAGGTCCCCACTTCCCAGCCCGACTCTCTGCATCCTCCCAGCCCTGCTCTTGCTCTTCAGGGCACTTCCTCACCCCGTTTTACTCACCCTAAAGGACTTTTTTTACCGGAAAATCAGCCGCTGCTCCACCTGCTGGGGGTTCCCACAACCCCGACCCCGGAGCCGCGGGTCCCTCCTCCCTCCCCAGCCAGCCCAGCCCCTTCCCTTCCGTGCCCCGCTGCTCCAGGGTCATTTCAGAGGCGACAAAACTCCTCCAGGTGCTTCGGGGAGGACAAAACCCCTCGGGGACAACTTCCCCTGCGGAGGATTTTGGGGCAAAAGTCGCGTTCTTGCTCAGTGGGGGGTTTTTTTTCGGCTCTTCCTTGTGACCAGGGGGGGATTTTTTCGGGGGGGGAGCTGAGTGAGGTGGGGGCTGCCCCTTCCCCCAGGGAGGCTGAGGTGAAGTCCCCACCTCTGACAGGGCTCTCCCTGTGACCTGTGCTGGGAAAACATCCCCAGGGGACTCTTGCTCGGGGAATGAGACGCCCCGGGGGGGGGGTTAGACTTGTTTCTCACCCCCTTTCCCCCCCCAAACCACTCACACCGTGTGACACCCCTCTGTGGGGTCGCTGGAGCTGTGACCAAGGGGCTGTGTCCTCCCTACCAGCTTTTCTGAGGCCACCAGAGACATTTTTAGGGCTTTAGGTGGCCCCAAACTGTCCCTCTTCTCACACGTCAGCGGTGCTGGAGTGGTGATAAAGGGGCTGTCTCCCCACGAGCCGTTTTTGGGGCTCTGCCCGGCCCCAATCCGCGCCCTCAGCAGGTTTGGAGCTGCCGGTGCAGCCTCGAGCTGCTTCAGGGCGAGGAGGAACATTTCCCACCTCCTTTCCTGTCCTGTTGAAACCACCCCCCCAAAAGTTCAGCAGCTCCTCCTGCTCCGCTCTGGGCTGACCCGGGACCCCCCTTCCCCTCTCTGCTCCCCCCCCCAGGCGGTGCCAGGCCGAGGATGGAGCTGCTCGTGCTGCTGGTGGTGCCCGTTGTCATCATCATCATCATCATCATCGTCCTCTTCGGGGTCTTCAGGACCCCCCGCCCGGCTGCACCCCCGGGTGAGCGGGGCCAGGGAGGGGTCCCGGGGTGGGGGGTGGTCTGGGCGGGGTCTGGGGGGGTTGATCTGGGGGTGGACACCTCGTGAATCCCAGAATTGTGGAGGTTTAAAAGACCCCTGAGGGAGGGGGGGGAGTCTGCAGGGAAGGACTGAGCGCTCTGGGCTGGGGGACACAAGGTGGGGATGGGGGCACAGGGTGGGCTGGGTCTGGGGGGGGATCTGGGGGTGGACACCTCGTGAATCCCAGAATTGTGGAGGTTTAAAACACCCTTGGGGGGGGGGAGCCCCCGCCAGCCCTGGAGGTGCCCGGGGAAGGAGTGGTCGTGGCACTGAGCGCTCTGGGCTGGGGCACAAGGTGGGGATGGGGGCACAGGGCGGGCTGGATGATCCCGGAGGGCTTTTCCAACCCGAATTATCCCTCTCGCAGCCGAGCAGGAGCCCAGCCCGGACCGCGCCGAGCACACCATCTACTCCCAGGTCCAGCGGGCGCGGGTGAGGCACCAACACCCCGACCCCTTTTTCCAAAGGCTCGTTTTTCCAGCCCTGGAAATGCTCCTTTAGCAGCGGGACCCCGAGTCCTGCGGCCGGGGGGGTGGGGGGGGGAGCGTGGGCACGATCCCGGGGGGGTTTCCTGGGGGGGGTCTCGGGCAGCAGCAGCAGCACCCAAAGGTGGCTGCTGGTCCCTCCCCCGTGGCAACCTCCGCGCTGTGCTTTGGCCACCGGGTGTCAACAGAGCCCCGCGGGTGGGGAGGGACGGGGTGACATCACCGCGGGGGGGGGAGGAGGGAGGGTCCCCCAACCCCCGGGTTCCAGGGGTCAGCCCGGTCGCCGTTAATTCGGGAATAAATTTGGGTGCTGCGGCTTCCCGAGCCCTCAGGACTCCGGGGTGGCTTTGGGGACGCTCCGGGCGGGTTTTCCCCCTTATCCCGTTCCCGTTAAACCAAAACCGGGCGGGCGGAGGGAGGGAAGGGCCCGAGGGGGACCTGCCTCTCACCGCTCGTCCTTTGTCCCCCTCCTGCAGAAGCCAAAAGAGCCGCCCAGCCCCGACCCCCCCTCCTGCACCACCATCTACGCCGCGGCCACCGGGCCCCCCGGCAGAGCCCCCCGCGACCCTCCGGAGCCCCCCACCCTGCAGGGACCCCCGCCCCTCTCCCAGGTAAGGGACACCCCCCCCTCTCCCTCGCCCTGGCCGGGCATTTCCCTCGCCCTGGCACCTCCCTGACCCCCTTTTGCCCCCCCCAGGAGCCCACCACGGTTTATGTCGGTGTGATGATGCCCAGGCCCTGAGCCTCTGGGGGCAGGGGGCAGCTGCCCAGCCCGGCTCGTGGGCACCAAACCCCACGTTTCCTGGTGGGATTGACCCGCTCATCCCTGAGGGAACCGACACAACCCCCCCGGCGGGGGCGGAACGAGCGGGGACGGCGCCTGGAGAAGGGAGGGGTGAGCGAGAGAGGAGCGCGGCGAGAAACCTCCCCTGGCTGAGGCTGGAGGCTCCCGGCTGGATCCTGGAGCGCTGGGAGAAGGGAGAGGGACTCTGGATCCGACCCCGCAGCTGGGAGTGAGCCAGGGAGTGACTCGGCCCCTGGGAGGGGAAGGATCGGCGGCACCGGGAAGGGGCGGCTGGAGGAGTTTTGGGCTCCGACCTCATCCCTGACCTGTGGGTTTCCACGCCAGGAACTCATCCCATGGTCCTGCTTTCCTAAGGGACACGCAGGGACACAGGGGTTCAACGGGGGAAAAACGAGAAGTGGTTTTATTTTTGAGCCCTGCGACAGGTTACAAAAACTCGGGAGTTTTGTCCCCAGGGAGCGAGGAGGGTTTTGCAGCCCCCGCAGGCTCAGCCTGGCTCTGCAGCCCGTGTCCCACCGAATTTTCCGTCCCCGTTTTTCCCACTGATCTCTGTGGGAACAGCTGAGCTTTTCCAGATGGACTTAAAGCTGAATTTGTGGCTGGGAGGAGGAGGAGGAGGAGGAGGAGGAGGCAGCCCCCTATCCCCTGCCCACAGCAACTCTTGGTTCCCTGTGGAAATATCCCGTGTGGGGATGTTGGAGGTGGCCTGGATGAGGGAGCAGGGCTGGAAAATCCAGCTGACCCGGTCTGGGGTGTTTTATAATCCCAGCACAGCTCAGCTGTGACAGCAGGTCTGGCTGTGTGGACCACGGGAAAGGGAAAGGGAAATAAATCGGGAGTAAAGCCCTTTGGAAGGGGTTGCTGCTGCTGGAGAGTTTCACGGGGCGGATCCACTGCTGAGGTGGAACAGAAACCAATGTTTTTGTACCTCCCCGACTTCTCTCTTCTGTGCCCACAGAAAATAACTGAGCTGCCTCCCTGGAAGTGTCTGCAAACAACCACTTCCCCCAGCGCGGGGGCAGGTGCAGGGAAGGGCAGGGCCACCCTCACCCCTGGGCCTCTAAGGTGGTGTAAAAGCCCCGAATTCTGTCAAGAGCGGAGCTCTGGGGCTGCCCAGGGAGGTGGGGGAGTGCCCAGCCCTGGGGGTGTCCAGGGCAGGCCTGGATGTGGCACTGAGTGCTCTGGGCTGGGGCCGAGGTGGGGATGGGGCACGGGGGGGACTGGATGGGCTGGGAGGGCTTTTCCAACCTCGGGGATTCTGGGATTCTTGGCTGGACAACCCCCCCGAGGCTCTGAGTGGAGCTCCTCGCTTGTCTCTGCAGTAGAACACCAAGAAAACTCCGGCGAGAGCCGCGGCTTCGGCCACGGCCACGGCCCCCACCCTGGCCAGGCTGCTGGAGCGGGGGCCTGGGGGGAGAAAAGGTCCAGTGAGAACATCCCCCAATAGATCTGCCCCTTCCTGGCACCGGGGCACAGGGAACCTGGCACAGCTCTGCCCCAACACCCCCCGAGCCCTCAGAGCAGCTCAGCTCTGCCCAGCCCAGCCCAGGGGACGAGCGGCCGGGCAGGAGCAGCAGCGGGACCCTCCCGGCCCGGCCCCTCCCGGCCACGGCCACCCCCCACGGCCCTCCAGCCACCTCCGGGGGGGCTTTTGGGGCACGAAAGCCCGTGCTGGGAGGCTGGCGGTGCCCACCCAGCCACGCTCCCGCCTCCACTCCGCCCTCGGCTCTGCGGCACCGATGGATTCGCTGCTCCCACCCCAAAGCAGGACTTTTGGGGCACACCCGCCCTGCCCCAATTCCCCGGGGGGGCACGGGCGGCACAGGGATGCCCAGGGCACTGCCCAGGAAGGCCGGAGGGAGGGGATGGACCGGGCTGCTCTCAGGGTCTCCATCTCCCCCTGCCGAGCACGGCCCCTGTGCCAGCCGGCCCTGGGGAGCTGCCGGGGGCACACGGGGACACTGAGGGGCCGGGCTGGGCACACACGGGGGGGTTGGCAGCTCACCAGTGGGGAGAGGGTGGGTTGTATTTCCTGCGTGCACGGAGAGGGGAGAGAACAGGGAGAGAACAGGGAGAGAGGGGAGAGAACAGGGAGAGAGGGGAGAGAACAGGGAGAGAGGGGAGAGAACAGGGAGAGAGGGGAGAGGAGGGAGAGCACAGGGAGAGAGGTCAGTGCCCGGGCCGGGGGTCCCGCTTCTCCCCGCACACCCAGCACAAAGCTGGGGGCAAAACTTGAACCGCGGGGAGGGGGATCCAGCCCATCCCACTGTCCTACCCGACCCTTTGGGTGCCCCTTACCTGGGCACAGGTCCGTCCCCATCATCTCTGTGTGCCCCGTACATGCACCACGGTCCCTCCCCACCCCCTCTGGGTGCCCTGACCTGCACCACCAGGTACCCTCCCCACCCCTCTGGGTGCCCCTGACCTGCTAACAGGGTCCCTCCTTCCACCCTCTGGGTCCCTTACATGTTCACAGGACCCTCCCCAGCCCTCTGGGTGCCCCGTACCTGCTCACAGGTCCCTCCCCACCCCTCTGGGTGCCCCTTACCTGCACGCAGGTCCCTCCCCAGCCCTCTGGGTGCCCCTTACCTGCTTACAGGTCCCTCCCCACCCCTCTGGGTGCCCCTTACCTGCGCACAGGTGCCCGGGCCAGACGGTGACGCTGCTGTTGCTGACGGGGTTCTGTGCCCGGCACGTGAGGGACACGGACCCGTCCGGGGGTGACTCCTCCAGCAGCACCGTGGGCCCCTCTCCCCGGGGCTGCTCCCCCTCGCTCCAGCCGTAGGAGACGCTGCCCAGGCCGGGGCCGGGCGCGGAGCAGTGCAGGGCGTAGCGGCAGCCCCCGCCCGAGCAGTTCTGGGCCTCGCAGCTCACCCGGGGCTCTGCCAGCTCCCCTGGGGGAAGGAGGGCAGGGGCTGTCAGGAAACACCTTTGGGCGTTGAGAAACACCCCCGAAAAGTCAACACTGAGAGGCACCTACTGTACACCTGCAGGGTGTAGATGGATTCTATGAACCAGCTCTGTGCAGAGTAGGTGCCAGCGTCCTCCATCCTGAGCTGGGAGATGGTGAGGGCCCTGCCCTGCTCGGAGAAGGTGAAGCGTGTCTCATATTTTTTGTCTGCAAACAGGGCTACAGGAGGTTCACCGAATTCCAGAGTCACTATGGGTACACCATCGAAGCTCCAGACGGCTGTACTTCGAGTTGGACCATGGATGTGGAAGGTGACGGACCCGCCCTCGGCTCCAACCACCTCTGTCATCATGCCATAGCCCGCTGGGGAGAGAAGGTGGTTGAAGGAGGCACAGAAAGGGTGGGGGGTGTTTGAGGGGAAGGCAGGAGGGCTCGGGGTTCAGGGGGAGCACTTTGCACTCACTGGCTCGGCGAAGGAGGGCGAGGAGGGCGAGGAGCAGGAACCGAAACCTGTCCATCGGCGGCCGGTGCACGGGGAGGGTTTGTCTGCACCCAGACAAGCTGGAGGCTGATCCCGGTGCAAGAGGAAGGCACCAGCGTGCTCACAGTGGTTTTCACCGGGGGTTGGATGGGCGGAGAGAACCCCGAGCTCCGTCCTGGTGTCGCCGTCGCCGCGGCCTCAGCTGGTGGCACTTGGCTCAGCACCGGGAAAGGAACGTCGTGGGGGACAATCCCACCCCCCCCCAGAGGAAACTGGGGCTGAAAAACTCCATTTCCAAGCAAAGACAGGCTGGGACAGAGACAAGTGTCCCAGGTCCTCGGTGGGCACCAGCCTGAGGAGATGGTTCTCGTGGAGAACGGGGTGGGTCAGTGCCCAGGAGCCCATGGGCTGGTGCCACCAGGGCGTCCCTCGGGAGTGCTGCTGGGTTGGGTTGGGTTGGAAGGGACCATAAAGCTCCTCCAGTCCCACCCCTGCCACGGGCAGGGACACCTCCCACTATCCCAGGTTGGTCCAACCCGGCCTTGGACACTCCCAGGGATGGGGCAGCCCCAGCTTCTCTTCTCTTCTCCAGGCTGAGCGGCCTCAACTCTCCCAGCCTGTCCCACAGGGGAGCTGCTCCAGTCCCCTCCAGCCCCCCAGACCCCACCCCAGCAGACAGGGCAGCTGAGTGAGAACTGGAAGGGAAAGCAGCGCTTCCCTAATTCTTGTTTTTATGGAAAGTCAGATGATTTCTGAAATCCAGGCACATGAGAAGTGCTCTGGAGCAGCTGGAGAGGTCAGGCACCAAAACAACCCTGGTTCCTCTTCCTCAGGGGGCTGATGGCACCTCCCAGGGGCTGAATTCCACTGAGTTAAAACCAGCTCCCCTCTCTCACCCCACCCCGGAAGAATAATTGAATCATGGAATTAAATGGTTGGATTTGGAAAGGACATAAAATTCACCTTGTTCCATCCCCCTACCACGGGCAGGGACACCTCCCACTAGCCCAGGTTGCTCCAGCCTGGCCTTGGACACTTCCAGGGATGGGGCAACCACAGCCCAACCTGTGCCAGGGCCTTCCAACCCTCCCAGGGGGGAATTCCCTCCCAGTACCCCATCTAACCCTCCTGTCACTGGGAAGCCGTTCCCCCCTTGTCCTGTCACTCCAGGCCCTCTCCTCGTGTTTCTTGCAGCTCCTTCAGGTCCTGGAAGGCCACAGCTGGGTCACCCCGAAGCTTCCCTTCTCCCAGGTGAACAATCCCAGTTCTCCCAGCCTTTTCTCACGGGGGAGCTGCTCCCTCCATCCCTCTGCTCATCCCGGGGCCTCCTCTGGAGCGGCTCCAACAGCTCCGTGTCCATCCCAGGTCGAGTCCCCTCTTCGGGCTGGTCACCACAAAGGGCTTGGGACACTTGTCACACACACACAGTGATGCTCTTTGTCCCAGCTGCATCACTTGCCTTTGCCTGGAAATGGAGTTTTTTACCTGGAAATGGGGTTTTTTAGCTCAGTCTTTCCGTTATGGGGGTGGGATTGTCCCCCTCGACGTCGGGGTGCTGCCTCTGCCGGGCGTTGCAGCGACACAGGAGGAAGGTCACAGTTCTCTCCACCCCTTTTCAAGCCCAGGAAACCCTCGTTTCGCAGGCTCCCTCTCGCCTTCCGCTGCAGATGGTGGGCGCAGACAACGCTCCCGGAGGCCCATGGACGTCCCTCAGCTCCTTCTTCTCACCTTCCTCGTCCTCCTCCACCGAGCCAGTGAGTGCAGGATGCCCCTTTTGCCCCTTGGCAGCAGGAGGGAAGGAGCCCGTGGGGGGCTCGGGGTGGTTTTGGGGACGCCCAGGACAGCGGGGACACGAGGGAGCAGTGGGGCAGCCCCACAGGGGTGGAGTTTGGGGCAGCTCCTCAGGGATGGAGTTTGTTCCCAGGGGGAAAGGTGTCCCTGGCTCTCCCTCTCGTGTGGTCCCTGCTGATGAGGGATTGTGCCAGGTCTCAGCCCTGGCCCAGCCTCCCTCCAGCTGCTGCCAGATGTGCACAGACCACCCTGCTCTGAGCTTGGGTTCTGCTCCCCTGCACATTGTCTCCGAGCTTTTGGAGCTCCCAGAGATCCTTTTTGTGGTGTTTCTGCCCCGGCCCCTTCCCACAGCCCTCAGTGTCTTTATTATCCGGCTGCTCCACAGATTTCCTGCAGGTTTATCCTCCCCACCAGCTTTTCCCCCCTCCCTGTGGTTGGGGAGGTTGATTGTCCACGTCCCAAAGAGTCAGGCTGAGCCCAGGGAGACGTGACAGCCTCGGGGTCTGGTGGCACAGCTGAGCCAGGCTCGGTTCCCCTTTCCATTCCCAGACTGGGAAGTGCTGAGTTTTTAGGTGGGAGACAGCCAAGAGAACGAAAGAAATGCCTTCCTCCTTGAGGTCACCCTCCAGGCTGGGTGGTGAGGGATGGATCCAGAGGGACCTTGTCCTGGGATGGATCCAGAGGGACCTTGTCCTGGGATGGATCCAGAGGGATGGATCCTGGGCTGCATCCAAAGGATCGTGGTCAGCAGGTCGTGGGAGAGGATTCTCCTCCCCTGCTCTGCTCTGGTGAGATCCCACCTGGAAGAGTGTCCAGCTCTGAGACATGTGTAAGAAGGACATGGAATTGCTGGAGAAAGTACAGAGGGAGCTGTGCAGCTGAGAAGGGAACTGGAGCATCTCCCATGTGGAGACAGGCTGGGAAAGCTGGGAATGTTCAGGCTGGAGAAGAGCAGCTGTGGCTGCCCCATCCTTGGCAGTGCCCCAGGCCAGGTTGGACAGGGCTTGGAGCAACCTGGGCTGGTGGAAGGTGTCCCTGCCCACGGCAGGAGGGTAGAACGAGATGCTCTTTAAGGTCCCTCCCAACCCAACCCATTCCATGATCCAATTGTTGTTCCAAGGGAGGGAGAAGCAGCTGCTCAGCTGACTGCTGGGGTTCCTTCCCTGCTCACGTTGGTGAGCTCAGCCTCTGGGGGTCGAAATGAATCTTCCCGACCTTTCCAAGCCATTGCAAACCCCCCCTTGTACTTTCCAGCTCCAGGCTCTGGTTCTTACACACCCTTTGCACGTGGGTGTTTGACGGCACCGGGGCCTGTCCGTGGCCCCACATGGTGTGACCACAGTGGGGTGAGGCTGGGGCTGCAGTGGGGTGAGACTGGGACTGCAGTGGAGTGAGACTGGGACTGCAGTGGGGTGAGACTGGGACTGCAGTGGGGTGAGACTGGGACAGCAGTGGGGTGAGGCTGGGACTGCAGTGGGGTGAGACTGGGACTGCAGTGGGGTGAGGCTGGGACTGCAGTGGGGTGAGGCTGGGACTGCAGTGGGGTGAGGCTGGGGCTGCAGTGGGGTCAGGCTGGGACTGCAGTGGGGTGAGGCTGGGACTGCAGTGGGGTGAGACTGGGACTGCAGTGGGGTCAGGCTGTGACTGCAGTGGGGTGAGACTGGGACTGCAGTGGGGTCAGGCTGTGACTGCAGTGGGGTGAGACTGGGACTGCAGTGGGGTCAGGCTGGGACTGCAGTGGGGTGAGACTGGGACTGCAGCCAAGGACCCTTCCCCGAGCTCTCCTGCCTTCTCCTCAAACACCCCCCACCCTTGCTGTGCCTTCTCTCCCTGGCACAGCAACTTCAGCCCTCCTTCTCTCCCCAGTGGGTGATGACATCGTGACAGAGGTGGTTGGAGCCGAGGGAAGGTCTGTCACCTTCCTCATCCACCATCTGGATGGAGAAGCAGCCGCCTGGAGCTTTGATGATGTAGCCATAGTGACTGTGATATTCCGTGATCCTCCTGGAGTCGTGTTTTTAGACAAAAAATACAAGACACGCTTCACCTTCTCCGAGCAGGGCAGGGCCCTCACCATCTCCCAGCTCAGGATGGAGGACGCTGGCACCTACTCTTTACAGAACTCAGAGGGAAAATCCACCTTCACCCTGCAGGTGTACAGTAGGTGCCTCTCAGTGTTGACTTTTCGGGGGTGTTTCCCAACGCCCAAAGGTGTTTCCTGACAGCCCCTGCCCTCCTTCCCCCAGGGGAGCTGGCAGAGCCCCGGGTGAGCTGCGAGGCCCAGAACTGCTCAGGCGGGGGCTGCCGCTACGCCCTGCGCTGCTCCGCGCCCGGCCCCGGCCTGGGCAGCGTCTCCTACGGCTGGAGCGAGGGGGAGCAGCCCCGGGGAGAGGGGCCCACGGTGCTGCTGGAGGAGTCACCCCCGCACGGGTCCGTGTCCCTCACGTGCCGGGCGCGGAACCCCGTCAGCAACAGCAGCGTCACCGTCTGGCCCGGGCACCTGTGTGCAGGTAAGGGGCACCCAGAGGGGTGGGCAGGGACCTGTGAGCAGGTAAGGGGCGCCCAGAGGGGTGGGGAGGGACCTGTGTGCAGGTAAGGGGCACCCAGAGGGGTGGGCAGGGACCTGTGAGCAGGTAAGGGGCGCCCAGAGGGGTGGGGAGGGACCTGTGAGCAGGTAAGGGGCACCCAGAGGGGTGGGGAGGGACCTGTGCACAGGTAAGGGGCACCCAGAAGGACAGGGAGGGACCTGCGTGCAGGTAAGGGGCACCCAGAGGGGTGGGCAGGGACCGGTGGGCAGGTAAGGGGCACCCAGAGGGCCAGGGACGGACCTGTGCCCAGGTAAGGGGCACCCAAAGGGTCGGGCAGGACAGTGGGATGGGCTGGATCCCCCTCCCCGCGGCTCCAGCTTTGCCCCCAGCTTTGTGCTGGGTGTGCGGGGAGAAGCGGGACCCCCGGCCCGGGCACTGACCTCTCTCCCTGTTCTCTCCCCTCTCTCCCTGTTCTCTCCCCTCTCTCCCTGTTCTCTCCCCTCTCTCCCTGTTCTCTCCCCTCTCTCCCTGTTCTCTCCCTGTTCTCTCCCCTCTCCGTGCACGCAGGAAATACAACCCACCCTCTCCCCACTGGTGAGCTGCCAACCCCCCCGTGTGTGCCCAGCCCGGCCCCTCAGTGTCCCCGTGTGCCCCCGGCAGCTCCCCAGGGCCGGCTGGCACAGGGGCCGTGCTCGGCAGGGGGAGATGGAGACCCTGAGAGCAGCCCGGTCCATCCCCTCCCTCCGGCCTTCCTGGGCAGTGCCCTGGGCATCCCTGTGCTGCCCGTGCCCCCCCGGGGAATTGGGGCAGGGCGGGTGTGCCCCAAAAGTCCTGCTTTGGGGTGGGAGCAGCGAATCCATCGGTGCCGCAGAGCCGAGGGCGGAGTGGAGGTGGGAGCGTGGCTGGGTGGGCACCGCCAGCCTCCCAACACGGGCTTTCGTGCCCCAAAAGCCCCCCCGGAGGTGCCTGGAGGGCCGTGGGGGGTGGCCGTGGCCGGGAGGGGCCGGGCCGGGAGGGTCCCGCTGCTGCTCCTGCCCGGCCGCTCGTCCCCTGGGCTGGGCTGGGCAGAGCTGAGCTGCTCTGAGGGCTCGGGGGGTGTTGGGGCAGAGCTGTGCCAGGTTCCCTGTGCCCCGGTGCCAGGAAGGGGCAGATCTATTGGGGGATGTTCTCACTGGACCTTTTCTCCCTGCAGCCTCCGCCTCCGCCCCTCTGCCCGCGATCGTTGCCTGTGCCCTGGCGGTGACCGGAGTCGTGGTGCTTTTAGTCGCTGTGTTCTACTGCAGATCCAGAGGTGAGCTGAATCCCCTTTGGAAAACCATCCCTGGAGCCCGGGCAAGCGGGAGGTGGTGCCTGAGAGGGGAGGGCACAGCACCCAGGGGCCGATCTGGGGCCGCTGCTGACGGTGTTCACGTCCCTTCTCCCCCAGGCTGGAGGATGTTCCCTCTGTCTGCGGCCGAGGCTACGGACACAGGTAGGATTTGGGGGATGTTCCTTCCCTCCCCTTTTTCCTGCTGGGAACAGCCTGGTCACATTTAGGACGGGGAGGGAAATCCTCCCGTGCCATGGCTTGGTGCTGGAGCGTCCCCGGCTGAGGGACCCCCCCACCTCCATCCCAGAGGGGAGGGAAGGGGACGATCCCGGGGGATGTCACCGTGTCTGGAGCCACCCACGCTCTCCCTTCCCGCCAGAAAACCTCCAGCCAGGCCAGCAGGAAGGGATTGAGAGCAGAGCTGTGAGGTCACGAGAGCCAGAGGGATCTGAGGGAAAGAAAAGAGCTGGAAAGAGAGACCTGGGAGGGCAGAGAGGAACCAGGAGCTCGGTTCTGTGGCTCAGGGTTGGCCCGGCCGAGAATTCCAGAACCCCGGGATCACTGAGGTTGGAAAAAAAACTCCAAGGCCATCGAGTCCACCCTTTCCAGCAAGAAATTCCTTCTCGTGGCCAACCTGAGCCTCCCCTGGCACAGCCTGAGGCTGTTTCCCCTTGTCCTGTCACCCACAAACCCAGCGGAAGGAGAGACCACCGGAGCAATTCCCACCTCCCTGGGATCCAGGGCTGGGCCATTCCCACCTCCCTGGGATCCAGGGCTGGGCCATTCCCACCTCCCTGGGATCCAGGGCCGGGCCATTCCCACCTTCCTGGGATCCAGGGCTGGGCCATTCCCACCTCTGCTGCGACTGAGCCGGTGCCAAAAGGCCTTTGAGGTGGTTTTTACGCTGCTTTTTTGTCCGTGGGGTGTTTTTTACTGTTTCCCTGACCCGAAATAAAGCTGCTGCCTCGTGTTTTCCATCCGCACGTGTCTCCAAGTGGGACGTTGGGGCTCCTCACGGACGAGAACTTGGATCCAGCTCTTCCGTAGGGAACTCTGGAGCCCGCGTGGCTCGTTCTCCTGCACTCCAAACGAGCGATTTTGACCCAAAACTGAGATTATGGAGGATTTAAATCCCCTCTGCTCCCCTCTGTTCTGTGAGCTGGGCGTTAATTCCCTCTGCAAGGCGTGAAGGAGAGACAAACGCAGCCTGCCCTCTGGAAACATCCCAGGATTTGGGGATTTGAACAGAACAAGCTGATTTTGGCTGTCCTTTGAGCCGGGAGCAAGTGTCCCACAGGAGGATCCTGGGATGAGACCAGGATATCTTGACCCAGGCCCACAGTAAAACCCCCGAGGGGCCTCCAGGAGCTGCAGGATCGGGATTTCACCGGAGCCTGGGAGCTTGTGGCCGGAATTCCCTCCTTCCCTGGGCCGGGAGCACCCGGGCAGCACCGGGGGATCCTCTGCAGCCTCTCCCTCCCAACCTCCTGCTTTTCCCTCCCTGCAGGGCCCAGGCAGGAGCTGACGACCGTGTACGCCCAGGTCAACCCCTGGCAGCAGGTGAGCTCGGGCAGGGGGGGCTGGATCCCACCTGGAACCCGGGCAGGGGGGGCTGGATCCCACCTCGGCCTGGGCAGGGGGGGCTGGATCCCACCTGGAACCCGGGCTGGGGGGGCTGGATCCCACCTGGAACCCGGGCTGGGGGGCTGGATCCCACCTGGAACCCGGGCAGGGGGGCTGGATCCCACCTCAAACCTGGGCTGGGGGGCTGGATCCCACCTGGAACCCGGGCAGGGGGGGCTGGATCCCACCTGGAACCCGGGCAGGGGGGGCTGGATCCCACCTGGAACCCGGGCAGGGGGGCTGGATCCCACCTCAAACCCGGGCAGGGGGGGCTGGATCCCACCTGGAACCCCGGGGCAGGGGGGGGGCTGGATCCCCACCGGACCCGGGCTGGGGGGCTGGATCCCACCCGATCAAACCCGGGCTGGGGGGGCTGATCCCACCTCAAAACGGGCAGGGGGGCTGGATCCACCTGGAACCCGGGCTGGGGGGCTGGAGGAATTCCCACGCTCAAACCCGGGCTGGGGGGGCTGGATCCCACCTCAAACCCGGGCTGGGGGGGCTGGATCCCACCTGGAACCCGGGCAGGGGGGGCTGGATCCCACCTGGAACCCGGGCTGGGGGGGCTGGATCCCACCTCGGCCCGGGATTGGGGGGCTGGATCCCACCTGGAACCCGGGCTGGGGGGGCTGGATCCCACCTCGGCCCGGGATTGGGTTCGAATTCCGGGAATTGCAGAGCTGGGGGATGAAATCACTTCGTCTCACGGCCTCTGACGGGGGCACATCAGGTCTGTGGGTGGGAACTGAGCTATTTATTGTGATGAATGAGCAAACGAGGGAAGGGATGAAAGATCTTCGTCAGGGTTATTTATTGCACGTGGAAAAGCTAAAAGCTGCTGGTATAAAATAGTGTGAACAGTGTAGTATCATAGCATAAATATTATATAAATATATAAATGACCATATAAATATGGTATAATAGAATTAATTACACTACATTAACTTTATTAATAAACATTATTAATGCTAATAATTAATAATACAAATAGCATCAATATTATAGATATTAATTAATAACGTTCATTGATACAGTATTAATATAATATTATACTATATATTAATATATATTAATATTGTATACTAATACTATATTATATTTATATATAATATATAATATATAATATATAATATATCTATATAATATATCTATATAATATATAATATATAATTTATAATTTATAATATTAATATATAATATATAATATTAATATATAATATATAATATTAATATTACACTATATAATATTATATATTGATACTATATTATATTAATATAGCATTAAGATCTAATATTAATATTATATTATATCTAATAAACTATATTAGATACTAATATAGTATATATTATATTCTATTATATCTAATATATTATATCTAATATACTATATTATATTAATATAGTATTAAGACATAATATTAATATTATATAGTATAGTATTAATATTATATATTATATATATTAATACTTTGTATATATTAACACTATATATATTAATATTAATACTATATATAGTGTATTTATATATAGCCAAACCCAACCCCAAAAGCAGAGCTCTGGACCCCAAAAGCAGAGCCCTGGAGCCCAAAGCAGAGCCCTGACCCCAAAAGCAGAGCCCTGACCCCAAAGCAGAGCCCTGGACCCCAAAGCAGAGCTCTGGACCCCAAAAGCAGAGCCCTGACCCCAAAAGCAGAGCTCTGGACCCCAAAAGCAGAGCCCTGACCCCAAAAGCAGAGCTCTGGACCCCAAAAGCAGAGCCCTGACCCCAAAAGCAGAGCCCTGGTCCCAAAAGCAGAGCCCTGGCCCCAAAAGCAGAGCCCCGGAGCCCCAAAAGCAGAGCCCTGACCCCAAAAGCAGAGCTCTGGACCCCAAAAGCAGAGCCCTGACCCCAAAAGCAGAGCCCTGGTCCCAAAAGCAGAGCTCTGGACCCCAAAAGCAGAGCCCTGACCCCAAAAGCAGAGCCCCGGTGCCCTGGGAAGCTCAGCCCTGATAATTCCCGTGTTTGCCCTCCCTGGGCGGCCGCGGGGCCGGGCACAGCCCCCTTATCAGGGCAGAGCAGCCGGGCTGCCCCAGCAGGGCAAGGGGGGTGCCAACCCCTGGCTCTGTCTCCTGGGTTTTTTTGGGAGCTGGAGGGGGGATGTGCCAGCGCCGGGAAGGGCCCAGGGGCAGCTGGCACGGCCTGGGCTTCCCAGGGCACCCCCAGGGCTCTGCCCCCAAAATCTTGGCTCCCCTTCCAGAGGGAGGGGGCAGAGGATCCCAGAGCCGTGGACTGGGTTGGTTTTGTAGGGATCTTAAAGCCCATCCAGTGCCACCCCTGCCACGGGCAGGGACACCTCCCACCAGCCCAAATCGCTCCAAACCCCCTCCAACCCGGCCTTGGGCACTGCCAGGGATGGGGCAGCACTTCCAGAGGTGGGTCATCAAAGGATCTCTGGCTCTGGGGGTCTCTTTGCCGACCCCCAGCCCTGCAAAAACGCTTTTAAACCCTTTCCCCCCCCCCCCCAGAACGTCCCGAACGCGACAAGAGACAACCCGAGGGGGGAGAACTCCACAACCATCTACGCCACGGTCAAGGCTCCAGCCCAGGTGAGGGGCACTCGTGGCCATCTCCCAGGAGCTGGGAGAGATGGAATAGGGGGAGACATGGAACAGGGGGAGAGATGGGACAGGGGGAGAGATGGGACAGGGGGAGACATGGAACAGGGGGAGAGATGGAACAGGGGGAGAGATGGAATAGGGGAGAGATGGAATAGGGGGAGACATGGAATAGGGGGAGACATGGAATAGGATGAGATGGAACAGGGTGAGACATGGAATAGGGTGAGAGATGGAATAGGGGGAGCGATGGAACCCCTGGAGCTCAGGACATGGAACAGGGGGAGAGATGGAACCCCTGGAGCTCAGGACATGGAACAGGGGGAGAGATGGAACCCCTGGAGCTCAGGACACGGACAGAGGGGTCTCCACTTTGCTCCTCGGGGACGAAGCCCGTGGGTCCCTCGCCCAGGGAGGAGGGACGAGCTGCCCCGAGCCCAGCAGAGCTCGTGTCCCCTTGCCCTTGCAGACGGACGATGAGAAGATGGGCAGCACCGTGCTGGGGGGGCAGGAGGTGGAGGAGAAGAGCATCTACTCGCTGGTTGTGTGAAGGACCCCCCAGCTCGGCTCCAGCGCAGCTCCCCAGCCCGGCCCGAGCCTGGAGCTCCTCCTCCCTTCCCTGCTGTCGCTGCTGCCTCCACTCCACCCTCGGCAGCGGGTCCTGCGAGGGCGCAGGGGGGTCAGGAAGGGTGTCAGCACCCGGAGGATGTGAGCCCCGAGGGAGGATGTCGACACCCTGCGAGCGCAGCCCCGTCTGCCGCGGGAGCTCTGGGGAGCTCTGCCCTTGTTTTCGGCAGCCACGCGGGGTTTGAGCTCCCTTTTTCCACCTGCTTTGACCGAAACTGTGGCTGCTCGTCCCGGGGGCGAGGACTTGAGGGTTTTGGAAGCATTTTCCGACCTAAATGAGTTGAAAAAAACCCAAAAAAAGTAACTGAGTGCCACGTGCAGTCGTTCCTTGGACACCTCCACGACCGGTGACCTCCCCGGGCAGCCCCTTCCAAAGTTTAAAAACCCTTCCCCTGAAGAAGTTCCTCCTGATTATTTTGCTATTTTTCTCCCCCCTTTTTTTTTTTTTCCTGTTTTTACTTTCAAACTCGCCCAACTTCGGCTTCTTCGTTTTTTTTTTTGCTGAAGGGAAGATCTAAAAATACCCCCGAGAAGCTGAACCTTCCCCCGCCACACCTCGGCCGCGGTTTCGGCACCTGCCGCCCTCCCCCACTTTTTGGGGACCTTCCAAAAAACCTCGCAGCACCCCCAGCACCGAGCCCAGCACCGAGCCCAGTACCACCAGTGCCGTGCTGGGATCCGGGAGAGGACGCTCCGGGCTCGGGGGAAAAACGGGCTGAGGGCTGGGATTGATGCTGCTCTGCCCCTTTGATGTGGGAGGGTTTGTTCTCCGATGTTTGCGTGCAGGAATTGCTGTGCTGTGGGTTCCCAGCAGGGATTTAGGGAGCACAGCTGCTCTCCCGGCCCATCCCACCCTCCCCGCTCCTCAAACCCACCCGGAGCCGGTGGCTGAGCCCCCAAAAACCCTCCCTGGCATCAATTCCCCGATGCCCCAGGACAGAGCGAGGCTCCGGGAAGCCTCTTCCTCTCCTGCCCCTTCTCTCCCGCTCTTTGTCTCGCCTGGTGAATTATTCAGGGGTGAAACCGGAGACGCCTTTGAAGTCGCCTGGCACGGGGAGGGCCCTCCGGGAGCCGCTGGAATAAAAACCGCCAGAGCTCCCGTTCCTGCCTGCATCTCATTTGGGGTGAAAACAGCCCGTTCCTGACGAGCCCGGGGAGCGATTTGTGTTTTCTCCGCGTTTTCCCAGCGTGTGACGGGGCTGGTTTCGGGCTCCTCCGCTTCGCACCGATCCATCAAAAGCGCAGCCCGCGTGTTTTCCACGGGGATTTGCCCGCGTGGCACCAAAATCTGTCCTTGGAACTCCGATGCTCGGCTCGGAGCGGGCTCAAAGGGAGGGACCCGAAGGGAGCTGGGGAGGAGCTGGAGAATCGCCACCCCCTCCCTGCCCGCTCCAGCCCGTTCCCTGCCACTCCCAGAAACGACTCCCCGGGCTGATTTTGGGGCTGTTCATCACCCCGGTTTCACCTTCCAGCTCACAGGAAGCTGCAACAAAAAAAAAAGGGGAAGGAAGATGTTGCAGAAGGGGCGGCGGCGGTGGGGGAGAGCGGGATGGAGCCGAGGGGCTGCGGGACGAGGTGGCTCTGCCTCGCCCTGCTCTGCTCCGGGGCTGGTGAGTGGGGCTGCGAGGGGAGGAGGAGGAGGAGGGGGTGATGTGGAGGCAGAGGGTGCAACACCCCCAGGGCCCCCCCTTGCAGCAGGGCAGGGGGGACAAGGCTCAGGTGGCACCACTTGGCTCGGGGTTTGGGGGCCCCCTGAGCTCTCCCAGCACTGAGCTGGGCCTAAAACCTCGCCTGCCCCTCCCCTGGCCCAGCCTCGGGGTGCTCCTTGAGCTTTTTTGCTTAGACTTGGTTTTGTTGGGACTTTGGTTTAATCAGGGGGGGATTCCTGGCAGGGCCCAGGAGTTGGACCCGGATGATCCTCGTGGGTCCCTCCCAGCTCAGCATTTCCCACGATTTTATGATCCAACTCCATCTATCCTCTGATATCCCAGGATTTTATGATCCAACTCCATC